TGTAATGGCTGGCGAGAGGGAGAGCACTCGCGTCCCATACACCGCACGACCCCGAGTGTCTCTGTGAGCTGGAGCAGTTGCATCCACAAACAGCAAGAGACAGTGTTGTCTCACACAACTGTTTTTATTCTTTTACTTGCAAGTAAACTTGCTTAAAACCAGGCATGTGCTGTCACCGAGCCTCCTTTTCCCCACACGCCACTCTCAGTCACGGTGACAGCCATATTTCCATAAACCCCACAAACACAAACCCATTCACATAACACAGCAAAACACAATAACCTGGCATAACACACTGTAATGACACACAACCACATTATCAACTGATAAAACAGCATTTAACACATCAGAACATTACCCACAACGCACCCGGCCGTCAACCAACTGCCGGGTCATTACAGTATGGTTCATAGTTTGATATCACTTACAATACCAAGAAGAGCAATCTTCTAATTGTAAGAAGTAAGGAGGACAGGAAACTGGTATTTCCTGACTTCTCTCTATCAGGTGCTGTTCTTAAAGAATGTACCGTGATTAAGTACTTGGGACACTACATATCTGATGATCTGACTGATGATATGGACATCTACAGTGCCGCTTATTGTACGCACAAGCTAACATGCTGATATGCAAGTTTGGAATGTGTTCTGTTTCTGTGAAAACTGCACTCTTTAAAGCATATTGTACCCCTATGTACACTGCCCATCTATGGAAGCGCTACAATGAAGCAGTATGCGGAAACTCACTGTACCATACAATGATGGAATGAGGTTGATGCTAAAAAAGGCCAAGATGGTGCAGTGCAAGTTTATTGTTTGTTAGTGTTGGTGTGCCCACAAGTTATGCTGTATTACGAAATTACGTATTACGAACCATGTATGTGTAGGCTAATGGACTCCAAGAACAGCATAATCATGTTTTTGACAAACCCCACACTGAGTTCCGTCAGGTTTTATTCTGCTTTGTGGAACTATTGGTGTTTTAGCCTTTATGTAAACCTGTAACTATTATTTATTATCCTTTATGGACCTACTTTTATGTCTTTAATAAAGTTAACTGACTGACAATTAACAGACTACTAAAAACTACTTAAGGAAGTATCGATTGTGGATTGGTCACATACGGTCCATACCCAATCCGTCAAATAGGTCTGAACCTCTAGTATCAAACCCTGCTGCTCACCATTTTTATAGACAGTTAACATTATTCACTTCATGTGGGTCTGGTCAGGATGTTTTGGTTCATTGGTGTAAGTACAGTATATGTTCTTATCCTTTTAAGCTTAGTTACAAATTAGAATTACTAATGGATACAAACTCTATCCCATTTCACTAATGATGTTTTTCTTTTTCACAGTGTTTAAGATTAGCATTTTATCTATTTTATCTGCATCAACTAGTATCATTCACTTCATTCTCATAACACCATAAATGGACAAACAAAAATAAAACAGTATATTTCATAAGTAGCTTTTTAAAAAAAATGTATTTGCATATAATAGTGCTTTCTTTAAACTTGAAATAGAGATTTTATTTTATCAACATTCATCATAACCACCAATATATTGCCAAAATATGACATATTTATAACAATGACATATATATATATATATATATATATATATATATATATATATATATAATTGATGACATTTTAATATTTTCTCACATCATAAATCATTACAGTGTAATCCCGTTATAGTGGACTCGCTTATAACAGAATAACGTCTATAACGGATGAGGTCCGCTGGTCCCGGCCGTGCACCTTTACAAACATGCAGAAAAAGCATCGAATATAGCGGACTCGCATATAACGGAATTTCGCTTATAACGGTCCCCAGGGCCGCTTTTAGCAGTAGTTTTGTTTGGCTATAATGGACATGCAGACTCCACATACAAGGCGTGTTTGCGTGCCGGTGATATCCAGCACAGATACATACTGTAGTTGGGATTATTAATAGTCATGCTCTATAAATAGGCATGGTGTAACAGCAGGCAACACTGATTGGTCTGTGTAGCTGTCCATCACCAGGCACGCTGTGCGTCAGCAGACAACACTCGCAGCTGGAGGGATGCAGTAAGCATCCCTCCATATATACTTCCAACAGTCAGGTAAAGTTGGATTACTACATGTACAATATAATAATCTATATCACAAGTGTGTCTGCTGGGGTGTGGCATGAGTAAATAGTGTCCTGTAGTTGTGTTCTGGGCATACAGCAACTCTGGATATAATGGACTGTTTTGCCAGATCCCTTAAAGTTCATTATAACGGGATTGTACTGTATATAACTATTTGTCCCCAATTAACAATGAAACCCCAGTAATAGTAAAAAAAAAAAAAATTAAGAAAAAACATTTATTATTTACCAGTTACTACAGCCAACTTTACCATTTCCATAAAGCAGAATCTACATTGAAATTAATTTAGGGAGGCATTATAGAGAAGTAAATTGTATTCGTATAATCCTGAGAAGTTTATAGGCCTACAGTACTGTGCAAAAGTCTCACACAGTCATAGAAAATGAGGTGTAAATGATCTTCACATTGGTATAAGATCATGATGTTATGTTTATTAAAGTATGTTCGTTTCGCTTTCAAAGCCTGTCCTAAATTCACTCCAGTATTTGTAGCAACCATCCAATACACCCATGTATTTATGATACGATGACTAGCACACCATGTTACTGTTAATTTGCATATGTTCTAATGTTAAATTGTCTTTAATTTCTGACCAAATATACACTTACAACCCAAATAAATAGCTTTAAACATTTCTTTGATTATCTAAGACTGTGGTTGTCAACCAGGGGGGCTGCAGCCCACTAGAGGACCGTCAAGGGCCGCAGTATTTATATGAAAATGTAGAAAAAAATATGACATTGCTAAAGCTAGGGGTGGACATATATCGAGTTTTTATGTTATATTGTTTTTTTATAAAATGAGATATAGGATGACACAATACCATTTATATCAATATTAGTGGTGCCAATCAATTAGAAAAAATAATCCAGTCAATCACTATAATAGGCTGTGATTAATCATGATTAATCACAAGTTTAAGATGGTAGTATATGTTTGTATATTTTGGAATGTGTGGTCTTGGAACAAAAAATGCATGACAGACTGGAGGAATCATACTTTTTTTAATATAACATCTTGGTTTTGATAGTTGAAACCATTTAGGTGCAGGGTTTCAAATGTGTAAGTTGCTAACATAACTGGTAACTATGCTTTTGTGAAACGAACCCCCCTTTCTGCTTTTATTTTTTAATTTTGCATCACAACTTTGCTCCTTCCGTTTTTGAGTGAAGAGAGAACATGTAAGTTGCATCTTTTATGCGAATTATACAAGTGTTTTTCGTGCAAAAGTTAATATTTTACGTAAAATATCTTATTTTCAGCAAAAACAAGCAATATTATTTTAAGCTATTTTACGGCTTGCATTTTGAGAAGCATAATAAATTAAATGATTGCTTTGTAGTCTTGCAAAAAAGTCTCATAAAAGTAGTGAAAAATGCTAAAAGAACAACCTAGTTACCAACAGTTTCCATATTTCTTTCTTTTTAAAGACAAGTTTTTACAGTAGCAATCAAAATTAGAAAACAAATGATATTTTGTAATTTACAAAGTTACTGCTTATCTGAATTCGCGGATGTGCTCTTGTTTACATGAGTCAAATTGAGCAGTTTCATTTGTTTTCCTGCCCTTATGACAACTGTCGGATTACCGTATTGTTATCATGGGAATTTGCATGGGAATCCCAGCAACTAAAACATCTCCTGGGTAAGCTGATGGAGGGGAAAGGTGAGGTATCATTATTATGTACCATAATTTGCAGTATTTGTTTTGCTGAAGGCTACTAGCATATATTGAGGATCTTTTCATTTATTAGGGACATAGTTTCTGATTTTAGAGCCATTTGCAAAACAGGTTTTATATTTAGATGGATTTTTTTTTGTTCATAAACATTCACTCTGTCATGAAATGAGAAAAAAAGTGTTGGTGGACATAGTGGAGTGAAACTTTTTTGTCATGTTTAAAAAAAATTACATTGTCAGTGTAACCAAATCAAAATATGTTTATATTAATAAAGATTCACAATAATCATTGCTGAATGCAAACAAAGAAACAATATCATAACCTGTGTAGGGGGGCCACACGTTTTCCTGGACATGGGGGGTCCTTGGACAAAAAAAGGCTGAGAACTACTGGTCTAAGACTTTTCACAGTCAAAATAACAAGGCCAGTATTGTTAATATACGTCAATATATTGTACATCATTCATGATTTTTCATGAGTTTCATAAATAACTATTTTACAACACATTTTTTCAATATTTGCTACAGTATATTGCATTAATTTGTATCTCTTTTACATTACCATATATATAAACACATCAGTATTTCTTCCTGACAAAATGGATTTTGTAATCTAACTCATTACTTTTCAATAAAAAGAACAGTAACAGCATATATTCATTCTGTCAATGCAACACCTTCTGCAAGTAGAAGGCACAGTATGTCTTGGTAGAGATAACACAGCTCTTACAGGAAATGCAACAATTCGCTTCACATTCCAAAAAGCCCTAAGGCAGATTAGTTTAATGGGAAGAAACTCAGGGGGATTCAGGGGTATCTATAGTAACCTTTGTCAAAGTTAACTTTTTGCATTCAGCTTTGCTTTGTTTCTGTATGTGCTGGTGGTACAGTCCAGATCCATCAGTTTATATATAATGAATGTTTCTATCTGCTTTCTTTTCTGCTGGTGCCATTCCAGTTTGTGTTTTTTCCAGGTTGTGGTTATTGTACTTCATACTAAACTGTCCTGAATTCTGACCCAAATCAAAACAGAGTTTCACCTTGACCAGGAAGACAGGGCCCTGTCCTGTGAAGTAGACACCTTGGGCCCTCTTGCTTTGGTTCCTTGGCAGCTGGGTGCCTCTCTCCACTTTCTCCCTCCTCTCTGTCTTTTTCCAATTCTATTTTCTTCCCTCAGTAGCTGCTCTCGTGGCCGGTCAGCATGTAAAGATTGCTAGTGACAGAAGGAATTCCTGTTGGGGTACTCTGCAAGATGATGTCTCTAAAATAATGACAAAAAAGAGCAACAGGAAAAGAAGTATTTATCTGGCTAGAACCTCTGGATTATTCAAAATATTCATGAAACCTTATAATAAAGATCTCCCTTTTATATGACGATGTTACTAAAATTCTAGCCAGGATTTATTTGATATTCATTCAAATATTCATGCTACAAAATAGCACCTGAAGTAGTACCTGTATGGAGTTACTTTTGTGTACATGTACTGTCGTACTAATGGCAATTCACTGTAATTTATTCGTGTGAATTGTGCATGAAGGCAGTTGTAAAATCAAATCAAACTAATCTATTTTTTTTAAATCTGTGTATATGCAAAATATAGCTGAAGAAAATCCTACATTCAAACATTGCAAAATTTATGTGAATTTAAATTTTATTTAAATTTCATTGTTCTTGAACATTTTCTACAGTATCTAGTGGTTACCTATGGTAAAAAATCAGGCCTATTGATGTTTCATACAGTAGCTAGTAATGGTTGTTTTATATTATTTAAATAATATAGTGTTCTGTTTTGGTTCTTTGGTCTTCTGTAACAGCATGTCATCACTACACTAATGCAAGACACTACAGTTGTGGCAAAGTTTTGAGAATGACACAAGTATTGGTTTTCACTAAGTCTGTTGCCTCAGTTTTTATTATGGCAATTTGCATAATCTCCAGAATGTTATGAAGAGTGATTAAATGAATTGCAATTACAGTGGTACCTCAGAACTGGAACTTAATCCGTTCAGAACTCCGGATTGAATCCTAAAAAGTTCGAGTTCTGATCGAATTTTCCCCATAAAAAATAATGGAAAACCAATTAATTGGTTCCCAGCCCCAAAAAATTACACCTAAATATGTTTTTTTTTGCATTTAAACACAAAATTAACCGGATAAAACAAGAAGAGCATATACTGTACTAAACACATCTAAGCACATTTATCAAAACAGTAATTTGTAAAGTAAGAAATGTGTAAAGTTAAAAAAAAACAATGTGATCTGCCCGATCGTCCGCTCCTTCCGTGTGCCACGCCCCCTGGTTAACCCTGTGTGGAATCCTCGTGTGATGAGCTGTTTCGGGTTGTTGTCATTAGTCCTCTGTATTTAGTCCGCGTTTCAGTTTGTTTCCCCAGTCTGGTAATTGTATTGTCCGTCTGCGTTTTGCCTGCCTTACATGTAATTAAACCCAGTATTCCCTGATACCCTGACGTTTGCGCCATTGTCTCCAATCCGCCCCCGCTCGGCATGACCATATCATTATAATTAAATATATTAGTTTTTTATTATTAACATTAATAAAATGAATAAAAAATCTTTATTTTTACATGTATTTTACTGTCTATCATTGTCTAAATGTATTTTTACAGTCTAAATACACTCACCTAAACGATTATTAGGAACACCATACTAATACGGTGTTTGACCCCCTTTCGCCTTCAGAACTGCCTTAATTCTACGTGGCATTGATTCAACAAGGTGCT